GGCCATGGAATTGTCTGAAAATTGAAAATTCCGGAATTCCGGTGGCTGTTTTCACTGAGCATAACAAAGCTTGGGGTACTGCTCAGTGGGCCATGTTCGACTCACCATCACAATCCACCCTACCTCGGTGGCCCCTTTAAAATGTAATGTAATGTAATGCATATCTCATATTTTTCCTTTGCTGGCCAGGCCTCTTGGAACGAGTGTCAGTCGCTTTCACGAAACTTGTGAAATTCAAATCTCAACCAGTTGACCTATGTTCAAATTAACATATTTTCTCATCCATTTTTTAACCATGCACAGATCTGGAGCAGGGAACTTGCTGAGCTGTTGTTGGCAGAGGCAAAATAATGTGGAAGGGATGTCTTAAGCACGAGGTATTGTTTTGTAAATATAGAATTGGGTGAACTCATTATTCTATTAGTGCTGCAGTTCTGTCTTATTCTTTACTTTTGTGATGGCCCCATATTGTATATGTTTCTCCTGTTGGCCTGTAGCAACTTTAGATCATATTTTTCTCTACTATGAACAGTTTGTGAACCCTTGACCTATAATTCCATGTGGTTTGACAAATTCATCTCACAGCTGTGATATGAAATGGCTAGCTATTTTCTATGTTCAAATTCTGATGGGTTGGTCTGCTAGTGGGGTCTCCTTTTATTAATGTCATTGAAGAATTCCACTCCCATCGTACATCACAAGATTAGCTGTGTAACGATAACAAAATCTATGTGAGACAAAAGGACTTTTCTCACTAGTGGAAGTAAGGATTAATAATTTGAACTTTTGAATCGAAACCTCTAGTGGATGGACTTATTATATGATTCCAAAAGGAAATCATACAAACTAAATGTGATTTAGTAGCACAATTATTCATTGTGGTTCACTTTGTAGCTAGAGCTAGGCAACTAAACCCGTAGATCGAGGTCTTGAGACGAATCTCAGCTCATTATTTTTCTTCAACTCTGATCCAAAGAAACATGTGGTTTCTAAACCCATTGAGATGACCCAAGAATTTCGCTATTTCGATTTTCCTAGTCCTTGGGAACACCGTATGAGTGGAGATCTTCCTTCCCCCTTCTTAATTACCAAGAACTTCATTGCCACTAATTAGAAGCTAATTTGTCTTCTTATTATTATTTGATAAGATGGAGATACAACCTGTTACCATTACCCTCAGTTACATGAATTAGGTCCTTGCTCGGGATCGAAAGGATTGAGTAAATGGATTTTAACCTTTGAACTCTAGGACAGTTGCATATTTAATTGAGGTAGAGGAAAAGAAAGGGCAGAGGACCACCGGAAATTAGAGAGTATAGGTGAGGATAAAAATAGGTAAGTCTGCCCATTAAAGAAAAAAAAGCAAAAAGGGGTACTCATTACTAATCTTTTAGTTATTTTCCCATCAAGTATTATTGCCCACTTTAACCGCTCCTGCCAATTTTATATCTCACATATTATCCTAATTCTTTTTTTAAAAAGTGATTAAAAAAATATTGTTCATTTTGTTTTCTTTTAATTATGTTTGGTCTCTTTTAGTTTTTATTTTTTTTTTATTTTTTGGAGTATAGCAAGTGTAAATTTACTTTTTCTTTTAAATTCAAAATTTAATGTTGTGGTTGACTCGGTTAAAAAAAAATGGTTTTCCTTTTATTTTTTAAAATATAATTGGTATGGTGGGGTTTTAATAATATTTGAATATTAGAATAATTTTGGTACCCATTGTCGTGGTGACATGATTTGTGAACTAAAATGTACATGTGCTCACGACTTGGCTGCCATTTGCCATTTCAATTATCAGCCAATGTTTAACATTTTTAGGCAACTTTTTCTTTTTCCTAAGATGCTTTTTGCGTCACCTTTTCCTTTCCTTTTCTTTATTTTTTAACTAAAAACTTGTCCGACATTTTCTCAGCTAATGTTCAATTGCTATCAACTAATGAGGATTCAATGCTTTGTCTTCGTTAAGGGAAGGTGATTTTTTGTGATTTTTTTTCTTCCAAGATGGTAAATATTTGAATTTCTGACATTTTAATTTATATAGCATTATTCTTATTATAGATCTTTTAGTTTACTTTACCTAAAATTTAGGTGGTTGGATGTTTATGGTCATTAGGGGATCCGGGCCTTTTTTGGGGGATAGATAAAGGGCATAACATTGGGGTCAGTTACATTGTTGAATGTCCCGGGCCCGATATAGGGAAAGAACTTTTCCTTTGCTGGTCGGGGAAACCCATTCAAGCCCCGAGATGGAGATGGCTCCGCTGCGATAGAGGATGAAGGGGAATCCGTAGGCAACTGGTCGTTACTAGAAGATGAGAAAGATGCTGGCTTAATTGATTAGATTATTAGAAGAGCGAGGTGCAAGTGCTGGCTGCTCAATAGAGGGTTGCGACCCTTCGGACTCTGACTCCCCGCACGGGAGGCGTAGGAAAAACCACTGGTGAAGAAGATCCAGAAGATGCTGATCCAATAGGCCTAAAATCAGGGGGAATAGCAGAACTCGTGCTCATGGAAGGTAAGAAAGAGGGACGGCGAGAACGAGAAGAAGGATCAAAACATCGAAAGCCTTTCTGAGCCCAGGCATGCCCCTTTAAGAAACAGAAGTTTGTCGTTTGAGATATTCACTCAAAGTAGGGTAAAAAATGTTGGATGATGAAAGTCCCACGAGCTATTCACTCAAAGTAGTGTAAAAAGTGTTGAAGATAAAAGTCTAATTTAAGAAATGTTCATGGATTTGTAATTAAAAAATATTCTAACTTTTGGGGGCCCAAAATAAAGGTACGAGAGTATATGCTCAAAGATACGAGAGTATATGCTCAAAGTGAACACACTCAAAACAAAGGTATAAAAGATTAGTCTCAAAGTAGACAATATCATACTAGAGGGAAAAAATAAGGTTGCATGGCAAATTGTAGGGGTGTGGGTGAGGCTCCAAGATTAATGGAGGGCATGCAGACAAAGGAAGATGGAATGTGGGTTTACAGTGGTAGAGCAGCTGACATTGTCGGAGATGGAGATGTGTATGATTGAAGAAGAAATTAAACAAAGCCACCCTTTTGAGCCACAGCTGCAAATGTATTGCTTTTCCTCTTACATTTCTCATCAAAGAAATCTTTGTCATCTTCTCTCAACTCTGAATCAACTTTTACTCTGATTTTTACGACTTGCCCACCAATATTTCACCTTTTTTTTTTTTTTCTCCTCCATTATCGTCCTTACTTATTCAAGATATTTTTATTTATGAGGCTATATTCGAATGGAAAAATTCAATACATATCTTCACTTATAATAAAGTCTCGAATTTCACAAACTGTCTTCTTTATAGTTCGAATTTTTTTTAATGCAACATGAATACTGATTTCTCTTTTTAATTTCTCGTATTAATTTTTTTAATAATCATAATCTATTAACCATAAATACTGAATTTTGATTCAAATATAATATTATATTTTATGGATGTTTTTTTTTTAAATCAAACTTTTTAACCCAAATAATCCGATATTACAAATAATTAATATATCCTCATACTAATAGAATTGATAGGGGTATAATTAATATAAGATAATTTTATTATAGAATTTGAAAAATCAAAGTTTTTGTGGATAATAAACCGTAAAAAAAAAAAAAAAAAAACATAATTAAATAAAAACAAAATAAATACAAATTTTAAAATAAATTCAGTTTTCAATCATTCATAAATTCAATAATTTGTATTTATTTTAACTAAATAAAACCTTAATAAGTTTATATCACCATTTATATTTGTATTTATTAAGTTTATATCACAGTTCATATTTATATTTATTTTAACTAAATAATAAAGTTTTAATCCAATCCCAATTCAATTATATAGAGTAAAATCTATGGTATTGGACTAAGTTAAAAAAAAACTCGGGACAGGACGGGGATTGGACTAGTTTCGGGAGTGGTATAAGACTTTTGTGTTTTCTCCGTTTTCAATCCAATTAGAATAGGTGAAGGAGCTTGACCTTTTCTTATTTTACAATCCAAGAAACGGTTAGTGTTCAGTCTCATTAATAAATTAATAAGGAGTATTGCTTTGTGTCTTTTACTTTGTTCAATTAGTTTTTGGATCAAGAACCAAACACCTACCTATTTACCGAGTTGACTCTGTCTTCGTCTTTTTCCTTTGACTCTATCTATTCCCTGACCTTCCTTCTCAACCTGGCCTGGGCGATGCTACCCTGAGAAGAGCTATTGAACCTATTTACCTCGTGTGTGAAAGAACCAAACACCTATTTACCGATAAAGTCTCAAAAATCAATGATCTGACAAGGATGAATGAGATAAAAAAAACCGAGGTTCAGTAGAGAAGCCTATATAAATCCACTAAAATACACCGTTTATTAGGATAAGGTTGTTTAAAAGGTCAAGTTTTATTGGGCATGGAATATTTTTTTTTATATATGATAGAATATAGTATTTAACAAGCTTTAGTCGAATATATATGCCTTAGTTAACACCTTTATACAATGATTTTTCAAATCTTCATATGTAACAGTTCGAGGTTACGTTAGCAGATATTGTTCGGTTTAGCTCATTGCATATCGTCATCAATCTCACGATTTTAAATCACGTATATTAGAAATGGTTTCCACATAAAATGTTTGTTGGAGAGGGGAAATAAACATTTCAATTTCACTCACGTTTACGGATTAAAACAAACCATATCTATAGTGGGTAAGTTATTACATCATATATGGTATTTACTCTAATAAAAAAAATATTTAAACATTTCATTTAATCATTCCCACATTAAATATATATGTGAGAAAAAATACTAATTTTTTTAATCATATTTTCGGGTAGTTTCATTGACAAAAATAAAAAAATAAAAAATGGATTTGAAACTGGATTAACCCAAATTGAGAGATCGGGAAAAGTCCAAACTATTTAATCTGGAAAAAGAAAAAGAGAAAATATTAAATAAAAGAGAGAGCGTCGTGGAGTGTACATAGGAGTTAAGCTTGTTTTTAATACAAAGAGTTGAAGGGATAGTCTTATTTTTACCAGCATTTCGAAACACTCATTTTTTCCCTCTCTATATCTATCAAGAACAACAAAAAAAAATAAAAAAAAGAAACCCTAGCTTCTCCCCACTCGTTTTCCCTCCCATTTCTATCCGATTTCTCCACATTCCCATCCGATTCGGTGGGTTACTCTGCTTCCATGAACTTCAATTGAACTCAACTCTTCCGCACTTCGAAGGATCTGGAAGCTTAAGCTGCAAACCGACCAACAATGGCGTCTTCTGACAAGGATGTCGAAGAACAGCTTTTGGAAGCTGGCAATAAGATTGTTGACCCTCCTACTTCAGTTGAAGAACTTCTACCTCTTCTCGACGTAAGCCTTTCCGTTTTTTTCTTCTCTATACTTTCTGTGCGGGGTTTTTTCTTTTTTAATTTGGGAATTTCCCTCAGGATTGTGTATTGTTGAATTAGTTTTTCAACATGGTAGAATGTTGTCTTTGAATTTTCTTTTTCTGTACCGTTTACGCTGACATTTGATGCTCGATTGGTTTCCTCTATACAATTTACCGTGTTCTGTCTTGTTTGCCATGTGTTGCAAGTTCCCGACTTTTTACCACATTCGAGACCCGCGTGTACAGTAATGTCTACGTATTATAAACGCGACTTTGAATGAAATTGCAGAATGAATTAGTTGTGCAGCTGGTCTTCTAATATTATCGGTGGAGTGTGTTCTTTTGTGGGCATCAATGGGAAATAAGTTACGGAAATTGTATTTGAAATCTGCTTGTGTTGCTTATGTGGTGCATAGTTATAGAAGAGAGCTTATGAGTTGTTCAAAGTATATATAGGAAGGTATTTCCAGTGATGGTTTGTGCATAGTACTGCATTGTTTTGTAATCTTGTAGCTGTTATTTAACTATTTCACACCAGAGACGATTAAGTTTGAAACAACACCTTTCACAAGATTTTTCTTACTCGAAACCTCTTCATTCGCTAAAAGAAAGAGGTTGAATTGATTCTTAGATATAATTCTTCTAGTTTCTTTTATGCATCTGAAGGCTTTGGTTTCGAGTAGAACCACTTAAATTAGGAGATAATTTGATCCACTTCTATTCAAGTTTATCTACATACTGCTGGTAGGCTGACATATTATAACTCCACATTGATCTAGCAGGTGGCATTAGTTAGAGTATCACTTTTGTTGGCTTGAAAGTAATGCGAATGTTTGAGAACTGTTCAGGAGGGAGTGGTTAAGATTGTATGTCTTCTTTAAGACTTCCAGGAATATGGATAATGGGTCATAATGTAATGAGGATTCATGCTTTTAAGACCAGTTATATAGTTCAGTATTTCCACCTTATTTCTTTTTCTTTCCTGCTAATGTAATTGGCCTCTCTCTTCTCTTTCCTTGCTTCGGGTGAATTGAGATTTAATGAAATATTAGGTGCTTAACTAGGTCCTTGGTATTTATAAGTTTTATCTAAATGGATCTTAATTTTCGTGGTTATGATAGGTAGCTTTTTACATGTTTTTTTTTAACTTCACAATAATCTGCTTGATTGCAGAAAATAGAGAGTTTGCTGGCGAGGGTTGAACAATCCCCCTCAAAATCAATGCAGAGTGCGCTTACTCCATCACTGAAAGCCCTGATTTCTGATCAACTTCTAAGACATTCGGATATTGATGTCAAAGTTGCAGTTGCTACATGCATTAGTGAAATAACTAGGATCACTGCACCTGATGCCCCTTACAATGATGAGCAAATGAAGGTAATTAGAAATTTGGTTTATGAGTGGATACGATGTCAATTCCCCACATATCAAATTTATCTCTAAAGAGTTGTATGTATGCTGCTGTACAGGAGGTATTTCATCTTATAGTATCATCCTTTGAAAATCTCTCTGACAAGTCTAGTCGATCATATGCAAAGAGGGCATCCATTCTTGAAACCGTTGCAAAGGTCAGATCATGTGTGGTCATGCTGGATTTGGAATGTGATGGATTGATCATTGAGATGTTCCAACATTTCCTTAAGACAGTAAGGTATCATACTTGATTTTATTTTGAAATCTAGTTCCTTTTAAATTTTTACTTGTAAGCGCACAGTTGTGACAAATATTAATCTTCCCACAATTCAAGTTCTATGGTATGCGAAATACCACAAGACTTCTGTACTTCATCAGAAATTGACTTATACTAGAGAAGATGAAAAAAGGAACGAAGTATGGACTATTATAATGGTTGCTTTGGATGATATATAGCTGTGGTATTTGAGTGCATATGAAGGATTGGCAAGAAAAACTCAATGGAAAATATAATATGGTGAATTAGTTGACCATATTGTAATAAGTCTGGCCTTTAACTATTGTCTGTGTTAATTAGTGTCATGGGCTGATGGTTGGGTTGGTTGGTAGGCAACCTTTATGAATAAAGAAATGTCCCTTATACTTTTTCAAAGCTTCTTATATGGTATAGAGATTTCTTTTGTTATCCCTGAGTGTGAGTATAGATGCTGAGCTGCACTGAGTTTGGTAATTGAGTGAGGTAAGAATTGCTTCAAGGATGGTAACAAGTAAGAATCTGGCTTATATCAGTTATCCTCAATGAAGAATCATTTTGTTGTAGTTGTTCTATCTCAGCTTTGTCCTCTCCTTCGTTGGGATTTAGTTGTGCTTGTCAAAAGGTGAAATGGGGGATGTGATCAATTTTCTATCGATGCTTAGGCAGCTTGTTATAACCTTGGGAGAAGAATGTTCATATTTGAGACCTTTGTCCTTTAGAAGGGTTCTCGCGTAAATTCTTTTTTCTTTTCCATGCAAACCCTTCTCCCTTGAGTGAATAGGTCTTTGACTCATTGTGGAAGGTGAAAATTTGAATTAGGTAAAGTTTTTTGTCTAACGGGTTCTCTGTGGTAGATTTAATACCTTTAATAGGGTTTCAAGAAGGGTTCCCAACTTGATGGGGCCTTTGTGTTGCATTCTTTTGTTGTGTGATTATGCTGTTGTAGCTTGGAGCCTATTTTTTGATGGGTTTACTTGAGTTTGTCGGCCGTTGCACTTGGTCGTTAGCATGTTGACCTGCTAGGTTTTCATTAAAGAAAGCTGAAAAAGGGCCGAAGCATGTTACAGTTTAATCTTTCCCCCGCCATTATGAGATTATTTTGCTAACCACACCTTGAGAACAAGGTGTGTTTGAGGGGCGAATAATGATAGAAATGTTATTAGAGTATTATAAGGGTATATTAGTATTTAGTTAGGGAGGTTGTTATAGTATTAGCTATAAATAGAGGGAGTTGGAAAAGGTAGGCTTTATCTTGGTGAGTGAATTAGGGCTTGAGAGAGATCTCAAGAGGAGAGGGTCCAAGTACCTTGAAACACTTGGTTTATCTTGTAGTTCTTATCGTTTATATTTCAATACTATTCTAGTTCTGTTTTGGTTACTACCAATATAATTCCAGAGAAATTTCTTCAAAGGAAACTAATTATAAAAGGAAAATATAATTAAAAGATAAAAGACTTATATTTGAGTCTAGACACAAATCTACAGTTTTAGTCGTTTATTGAATGGAATGGAGTTGCTTTGGTTGTTCTTTAGTCTAAATCCTTTGCGCATTAAAATACTTTCATGCAATTGTAGAATGGGTTGTTTGAATATTGTTTTGCAATATGTTGCCTATAATTGTTATTTTTCTTAGACAAGAAACACTATGATATTAATCAAAACAAAAAGAGGACAGCCTAGGGGCCAAGTTTATAATTTGTAATGATGTCTTGGCATATAGCTTGCTATGCCAATTCTTTTAATAAGTTGCTGGTAATTTGAAGCTAAGATGACTGCAGTAACAAGGAACTATTCCCTGGTGTTTGAAGAGTAAAATTTTATGTGATTTCATAGTAATAATGGCAAATAAAAGTTTTACAAAAGAAAATTTCTTATATGCAAACAATGTTTCGGCTATTAATTTCTGACTAAACAGACCACCAAAGAATCTCTTCGTACTTTGTTCTCTGATTTGATCTCATTTGTATGATACTATACCACTTAGGTTTTGTTTGTAAAATTGTAGGCCATCGATCTACTCAATTTTGGTCTAACATTTTCCTTCTAATAGATTGCTTCCATTGTTTCCCAGTAGTTTAGTTGAACATCTTTTATTTTTCATTTTCCCTTTTTGTTCTTGTTCTTATTTGTGAGGACCTAGCAGGTTTTATTTTGCCGAGTTGGAAGTCCTAATTTTAGAAACTTTGGTTTCCCCTATGTTGTTAAGTTCATTTATAGTATTTTTCATCCAGAGATTATCACCCAGAGAATGTATTTTCGTCAATGGAGACAATTATGAGCCTTGTCTTAGAAGAAAGTGAAGACATAGCTGTAGAGCTCCTCTCTCCGATCTTAGAAAGTGTGAAGAAGGACAATGAGGTGATGTGCTTTGAGTTGTTATTTTTTTTCCCTTTATCTCTCTTTTTTAGTTATTAATATTGTCCCCTTTGATTGTCTGTTGAATCCTATAATGCCTTTTTCAGGAAATTCTACCTATTGCTCGGAAGTTAGGAGAGAGAGTTCTTGATAACTGTTCTACCAAGCTCAAACCTTATTTGGTTCAAGCTGTAAAAAGCTTAGGAATTTCTTTTGATGATTATAGTGATATTATTGCTTCCATATGCAAAGATCTTTCTGGCTCTCTTGAGCCAAGCAATCTTAACGATGCTGGTGAAAACGTGGTAAGTTCTTATATAATTGTTAGTTGAGTATTCTTAACAATTTATTTTAAGATTGGGGTACCATTCAAGTCTCACTAATAGTTATACCATTCACCCACCTCCTACTGTTGAGTACTGTACAAATGAGATTTTATATCTTCTAGACTTGGTATCATAAAAAAACAAAGTTCTTTTGGTCTTTTCTCTCCGTTTGTTGCTGGGAGACAAGTCATTAGAATCTTTTATAATATTTGCAACTGTGTTTATTTCATGCAAATTTTCCATGGATATAATCTATCTCATTTTTAAATTTATAGGATACATGATTGTGAAATTGAATTTGCCATGAGTTTCTGTGTTACAGAGGTTGGGTTATTTATTTATTTTTTTTATTTTAAAATTTTGAGATTCTGATTATAATACTATTTTACACCCACGAGTCAGCATATTAGATAAATATAGCCTCGACAAAAGTGATTTTTGTATGATGCTGACATCTTTGCTGGAATTTGAATTTTAAATGGTTTTTGCATTTTTATCTGTTGAAACTTTGTGCAGGTTGCTGAGAGCCAGTGCGTTAGAACGTCTGGGGATGAGGTAATGCAACCGTGCAATGCTTCTTAATGTGTTTTCTTTCCTGATTTAATTTTATGAAGTATTTCTTCTCTGGTTAGAACAGACAGTTCTTTATAGTCTTCTTATGCAAGTGAGATAACATATGCAAAATATAACATGTTAGGTTGGTATGTAGAAAGTGGTTAATTTTATTTAACTGGTATGGAGTAAAATGATACGATATCTATCAGGTTGAAGAAAACCAGACAGAAGTGGCCACACCTGAGAGAGTTGACTCGGCCGTTGAGAAACATCATGACTCAGTTAAGAGCAATGGAGCTGCACAGGGGGGTGAATATGTCTCTGTCTCTAGTTTGGTGCACAAGAAGGAAGAACATGGTGGTCAGGAGTGCAAAGAGGTGAAATCACCCAAAAGTCCTGAACCTGCTAATTTGGGATCTGAGAAGGCTAGCAATGTGAAGGAAAGATCTGAAAAGCTCCCTAGGAAAAGAGGCAGAAAACCTAAACAATCCGCAAAATCTACAGCAGTTCCTCATGTTGATGCTCTGAAGGAATCTGAGAATCAACCAGAACACGAAAGCCGTAGTGACCATCCTAGTTCTCCTCGGGGAGACCGGACTGCTGAAAACTTGCCTTCAGAAAATGCGGTTGATGCCAAGCCTTCTTCACCCAAGGCTATGGAGATTCAATCAGCAAACATTGCTTCATCTTCACTTAGTGGAAGCGTTCCCAGTGAGTGTAACAATAAGTCTGTACAGGCAAAGAAGAAGGGAAACCCAGCTAAAGTGGTGGTGGCATCATCTGCAGAAGTTTCAAAAAAAGCATCTGATGGAATGAATAAGTCAGGAGCAAAGATCGTTTCACATGGTGAAGAGAAGGCTCCAGCTGGAGTTTCTGATGATACTAAGACTGCAGCTGAAGATGCAGCAGAAAGGGAAAGTGATACTGCTAGTGATTCTGAAGTTAAGACGTTGAAACAGTCCGCTAGGAAGGGAGGTGGAGCCAGTAAGAGTAGTGGTGAATCTTTAAAACAATCGGAGGCTAAGAGAAAGAAGGGATTGTTGAAATCTATTTCTGGAAAAACCATTAAAAATTTGTCAGATGATGATGATAAAAAGGTGATTGAAGCAGTGTTAAATCTATGTTTGGCTTAATGATAAAATCTTATCCCCGTTGATGCACTAGTAATTGCTTGGTTGAATTATGGTTATTCTTCTAGGAAGCAACACCTGTGCTGAAACCAACCTCAAAAACCACCAAAGATGAGAAGATCTTGGACAAGACTACAACACCAGCTTCCAAGAGGAAACGAACTCCGAGCAAAGAAAAAGTATGTTCATACTGTATAATGTTAATTAGTTCCATGTCATTATGGAGGAGGAACTTCTTACCTACTTAGAGAATAAATTTAGTAATGTTGCAATCATTGTATTGATGTGAGTACGTGAATGTTAAAAAAAAAAAAACTCTCTTAAGTTAATTGGTTGGGAGGCTCTTGTGCTCTTAAAAAATGATTATTATATTAAGTTGTTCTTCATGACTCTGCTTTTATTGCCATCGATGCGTCGTAGTTAGTGTGTTCTTATTCAACTTGCGTTTGTTTACATATATACAAGAATTACTGAATTCTTTGTATTTTCCTGATTAGATGTCAGATCATAATTCGTTCCTTTAGTGTGTTTGTTTGAGTGCATTTGTGAGCATTTTGTGAAGATAAAAAATGCTTGTTTGCTTTTATAGACATCAGCTGATTTATCCAAAGTTCTTTATCTTGGGTTTGCGAAACGCAAACAATACATAACCAAATAACCCAAAGCCTATAAACGTGATGAAATAATGGATATTTGAACTTCTACATTTGCTATCCTGTAATACTATTTCTGGTTTTTAATACTGCTGCCTCTTTGTTGTATATGATCTTAAAGCAACATTGGTGATTGGCCCATTGCACTCTTCTTTGTTGTGTTGGAAACTTAAATCTTAGTTTCACTTACTGTCATTTTCAGGAGTCTGAAACCAAGGATTTTGATGAATCTTTGGTTGGTTCAAAGATAAAAGTGTGGTGGCCAAAGGATCGCATGTAAGTACCAATGGTGTCTCCTCTAATTTTTTTAGGTGTCTTTGATGTATGGTATCATGATATGATGAACTTAAATTGTAGTGGACATATGGTATGCAGAAGTATAATTTATATTATTTTTGCACGCGACCACATGGGCACCTCATTTAATTAGTGTCTTATTCAAAGTCAGGACTAGGATTTGAAAAGTGATTTTGAAAAAGCTCAAGATCATGTGGATTGAGAGTTTTTGGACAAGCTCCATGGAAAGAAAGGTTTCTGGTGGAAGTGGAGATCTTGGATTTAAATTTGGGTTTGTACTGTGAAATATTCCATAACAACGAAAAACCGAGAAATAAAGTGGAGTTTTTCAAGGGGTTAAAAAGGGGATTTCTTTCCCCTTTCTCTTCATATTAGTGATGGATATTCTTAGTAGATTACTTGCCACTGGTGTGGAAAGAGAGGGGCTATCAAGTGTTTTCAGGTGGGGGGAGAGAATCTTCACTGTTATATCTGCAGTTTGCAGTTGATACTAATTTCTTTTGTTTTGGGGGAACTCGTGTGTAAATATCAATCACATTCGTTGTGTTTGAGCTTATATGGGGTCTTAGGTCCTTGGCATCAATTGTGCATCTTATAAGTTGAACTCTTCTCTAGCTGCTCATGCCAGGTCTCTTCTGTTCTGCCTTGGGCTTCCTTTAGGCTGCAACCCTAGGTGGGTTTCCATCTTGGCTTTGTGAAAGGAGGGAAGTTGACTCTTATTCAATCCGTTCAATAAGTAGATTCCTATTCATACCAGTGTTCAGGATTCTTATCTTTGTGTGTATGATCCTGTTTGGAGCTGGGTTCAACCCTAGTTGCAGACTTGTTGATTTTGGAAGATTTCTGTGTTAAGAAATCAAGGTAAAATTCTGTCTCATCCATTGAAATGATACCCATATGATGGATCTTGTGCCACAAAGAATCTGGGGTCAAGGGAAACGTGATAATCATTTGGTTGGGAGGCCAGTTTTCTTGTAAATGAAATGACTGATCTCAAACCCTCCCTGCATCAATATCTAGAAATTATTTCCTAGGTCTCTAGACAAAACCCACTACCATCCTCCATGATCTCCCTCAAGAATTTTCACACAGGCCTTTTGAGTTTGTTAACTACATAAAAAAGAAGTTTTAACGTTCCCCTTACTCTATGTTCTACATTATGAGTTCTTTTTAGTCATGTTAGTTATTTCTCAATTCTTCAGTCGGTTGAAAGGTGAATGCTTTCTGCTTATTAATGACCACATTTTTCACATTAGTCCTTCCGGTGCATTATTATGATTAGTGAACGGTAGCCCTTGAACTCTGCTGAGTTTTCATTTTTTTTGTTCTGTTAATATCGCCATATTTCCATGGTTGAACAATTATGCTGGCCCTTTAATTTCTTGTTATTTGTTGCGTGACATCTCCTATCTGTTACAGGTTTTATGCAGGTGTAGTCGAATCTTTTGATCCTGGAAAAAGGAAGCACAAGGTAAGATATCATTTATGGAATCTTAGGTTGGTTTGTTTGTTTGTTCCTTCTTTGTTACTATGGCTTGCATGCATTCATGCATTTTAGTACATATACGTGTGTTGTATGTTATATACAGCTGTGCATATGCATATGCACACTTGAATGTTTATGCATAGGTTTTTGGTATTTTTTACATGGGTCAATGTATGCAGGTTTTATACACGGATGGAGATGAAGAAATACTAAATCTTAAAAAGGAGAGATGGGAATATATTGACGACGGCTCTGGATCTGAACGGGTAGGTGGCTGTGTGAATGTGTGTTTTGCTTGTCATCTAAGATTCTCTAACCCGAGGTTCAATTGTCTGACAACAGGAGGAAACAGCAGATCTAGTGAGATCAGAATCTGCAGCAGAGACGTATGTACTGCTGACTACATTAGTTTTCAATATTAATTCCCAAATATGGTATATTAGTGGTCTTCCTTTGTGGAAAGAGTCGATCGTATAAAGTTAACATCGTGTACAAATTGCCACCTTTATTCGTCACTCAGGTAGATATGATGTGTGATGTGCAGTTAATAACTTAGACTATGTTAATAATCTTTGATGGTTCATATTTTACTTAACTAGGGATATATGGAGTTTCTTCACTCAGGTAGATATGATGTGTGATGTGCAGTTAATGTGCTCGATGATATGCTGATCTTGCATATCTATTCTGTTCTGATATCTTCTAGCCTTGTATTGTGGGAATATCTTTATAGTCAATTCAACACGAGTATGAAGCTCGTTTAAATTACCAAGAAATTTGGAACTTGGACTTCATTTGACTTTTGAAAACTTGTGATGCCTGTACTCATGCAATTGGTGATTTATGAATATATATGATCATGATATTGTAGGAATTCTCTCCTGGACATGTATGGATAGGGCTGTTGGCATTTGATCTTGTTTATATCGATTCTCTTATCTTTTGTTACAGACCTCAAAAGAAAAAGGCGAAACTAAATGCCAACGAGGCTGCTAAGCGAGGAAAGATGGACGTCTCACCAAAAAAGTTAGTGCTATTCCACAACTGTTCACTTTCTCAATAATGGTTCTTGATGTTTAATCGTTAAACTCAATTCTAGGGGTGGAGCGACTTCCTCCGGCAAATCCAAAGGTGTAGCTACAAAAACTAATCAGAGTAGTGGCAGCAAAGTTGAAGGAAAGTCGAAAGAGAATACCCCTAAGGTTGGAAGACCTGCAAATGTAAGCAAATCCAAGGATCAAAACACTCCTAAAACTGTCAGCAAAGCTGGTAGCACAGGACCGAAAATTGTTAGCAAGTCGAAGAATGACGACGCTGAATCACACAAGACTAGCAAATTGAAGGATAATGAGACAACTACACCTACTGTTGTTGCAAAGTCCAAGCAAGACGTGTTGAAGACAGGGAAGTCCAAACAAGAGACTCCAAAAACTCCTGCAATTTCAAAGGGAAAGTCTACTACTAAAACAGGCGATAAATCTAATAGTGCCAATCTCTCCCCCAAGGTTAAGTTCACATCTTCAAAATCAAAAGAAAGTGGAGATTTGAAGAATTCTGCTGCTCCTGGGAAAACAATGGAGAATTCAAAGGGAAAGTCACTAAATTCATCCAATGATCAGGGCAGTGAATCTAAGCCGGGAAAGAAAAGAAGAATAGAGTCAAAAGGTTGAATCACCATGTCTATTCCAAAAAGGTTGGAGTTTGTCTATTCTCGCCTCGGTCTGCATTACATATTTGCAAATTCTACAATGAGTTCTTAGCAAACTTGCTCTGGATCTGATCTCATCTCATCTCATTGGCATGTTTTCGAGAGATTGTCATATATTCTTAGTGTTAGGTAGGTTAGCAACAATTATAGGAGTATGCTAGAGTTCTCTTTGTAGTTGTTTGCAGCAATTCATGTCATCCTGTGGGAGGTAATAGTAGAGAATGTTAAGTTAGCTATATGTATTATTACTCTTGGCTTTTCTCAAACAAAGATTGGCTTACTAGAGAAACAAAGCCACAGATTCAGAACACAGAGGTCTTTCCTTTCTAGGCCCTTCTGTCTTCTTATCTCCTGTTTTACCACCACCGTCTTAACTCCCTAGGTGATTTTCAGAGTAATTGTTAACCTAACATCTGGTATTTGATTAATGCCTTTGGAAGCTTAACCCTTTGGAGCATTGTATAGCTTTATTTGTGTGTTCGTTTTTTCTTAGATTATAGATTCGTTAAATTTACATATAAACTTACGTGCACGAATCTGTCGATCCTGAAATAGGTCATGAAAGGTTAAAGCTTTCTTATACTTCACTGAATCAGAAGGGGGGGAAAAGTGTTGGAAGAAAGAAATGATTGGAAATGAAGATAGAATTATTAAATTTGCAATTTTAGGAAAGTTTGGTACTTGACTGAATTTGAAGGGTTGAATATGTTTTTTTTTTACCAGATCTGGCATCATCAATGCATGTTGGACAACACAGAGAGTCCCCACTGCCATCGTCTTCTTGTGCTGTAATTTGCAGCTCTGTCTTCTGACCTCACCCTACTGCCCTTGTTTTTGTTTTTATTTCACTCTTTTTCCACTCACATTCAAACTTAGATCGTCAAAAGTGCTGTCCCCTACTGCTTCTTTCCACCCCCCCTATCACCTATTCACCTCTTCAACTCTTGTCCTCTCACAGGTCATTTCTTTTCTATCTTCGCCGTCACTCTCATTTAGATATGTACTTTCTCTATTTCTGTGTAGGATTCAGTCATGAGCAATCTATGCCTGTGATCTTTGAAGGAATTACTTCGTTAGGATTAGAAAATTATTGCGATTCGACCAAACGTGCTCCAACCTAGGTATCACTAGGTAGAAAGTAGCATTTCCGTTTCCAATGGTTTGAGCTTGAAACCGATACTGCTAAGCCTCACTTATGTACTGAGATCTCCAAAGATTCTTAGCTCATTCAATTCCAATGAGTTGACCAATACCACATATTATGATCTACTTTTTCGTATTCAAAATTAAAAGAGATGAAACATTAATTCTTAATATCATATTACAACTAATTTTGTTAAAAACATAATTGGGAACAATTATTATATTGGGCAACGTTGAATACTCTAAGTGGATTCCATGAAGATATTGCACTTTCATTAATTCTATATTCCAAATGTTAGTTATTAAAAAAAAAAATTCAATATTTGAATTACTACAAGCTTGAACGTTCTAGAATGTCTATACTAAAGAATCTAAGAAATTTTCGATATTCTCTTAATATACTAATTTCTTAGATTCCCATATTGAAGAAACTATCTCTCGACATTTGCATTATTCTTTTCGATTTCGTAGTTGTATGCGATTAAAATACCATATTATTTTTAAGAAAATGGAGAAAATAATAGATTCTTAGGGTAATTTTAAAAAAATAAAATAAATTGAAAAGGAAGAATCATTGTCTCTAGAAACTTATTAAAAAAAAAAAAAAAAAAAAA